CAGCAATGGAACTATAATTCGAAATATACAAAGGAAGAAATTGAATATCCTGATCCTATTAATTTCAATGCTATTCTTGGCATGGATGATGAAAAATATCAAAATTCTAAGATTATCCTAGAAAATCTTCAGTTAACAACTTTATTAAGCATGTCAACTTTGTATGAAAAAAATTTCCGTGATAAGCATAAATTTGTAATATATGTTCATAATATATTGGATCAGTTAACAGAAACAATTTCATGTATGCTCAAAGCATACCCTTTTTATTGGGCTATGACATCAATTAATTTATTCCAATACTTTGTACACAGTTATCGCTTTATTGAAGCCAGAAATCATATGATTGCCGCGGAGTACATGATGAAAATGTTTCATGAACAAGTAATTGAACCATTAAGTAATGAAGAGATTGATGCAGAATTATATTCACTTTTACAAAAACTGGATAATATTGGATATAACAATGTTAATAAATTCTGGGGGATATATGGAGCTGAACTTTTAACTGCATCAACAAATAAATTATTACATATAGAAGAGAATAATGAGCCAAGCGAGACAGATAATTCAAAATCAGAATCAGTTATGAAATCTAAGGACTTAACAAAATTACTAATATTTAGTGATGAAAGAAAGGACTTTGAAGGTTTTGCTGCTCATTTTCCAGATGAGTGTGTGTCAAATTTAAATGATGCCAAATCAATTTTCGTGAATGTTTTGAAATGTTTTGATACAGTAAAGAAATATTTTACCATAAAAGAGTATCCTACAGACTTTCTAGATATATCAATAGCAACTTCCAAAGTATATAAATGTTTAGCAACTTTTGAACAAGATAAAAGCAGACAAATTAAATTACACAAACGGCGAGCAGAAACTTTGAGAAATATTTCTAGTGAACTCGAAAATATATGTCGTGAAAAATTAAGGTCCCCTTTATTCTTCTTCCCAATACGAAAACTTCTGATTGAGGATTTAATATGTGACATGACTATCTTGGATATTAAAACCGCTCATTTACAGTTAAATGTAGAAAGGCTAAATAGAGAATTTACTGATGAAATAAAATTAAGTAATGAAGAATCAATAACGAATATAATACAACTGTTTGAATGTGCTTTAGAAAGTTTTGATGTTTTTTTTAATGCGTATAATTAATCTACGATTTTAATTAATTATCTAAGGTTTATATATATATATTTTTTTACTTGTGATATTGTAATGAAAAATACTTCTGTGCATTTTTATATTGTAGTTAGAAATATTAGACAATATTTTAAAATTACCTCTTTTATTTATAAATGCTAGATTAACGTAAGAATAAATAATCTTTGAATGAATAGTTAGTTTTATGATCACTGTGCAGCATAGAAATGCAAATATAATTAATGTTTACTTTTACTATTATAAGCAGGAAAACTTGTGAAAATAAATATAAAACTATTTTGACGAAATAACATTTACACAAAAATTTGTAATTTTTATATTATCTATTTATATATATTCAGTTTTTAGCATAATTAAATAAAATTATAGCATTTCAATAAGATATATATGATGTCATTCTTATATATTCATTTATCAATCCTTTGGCCGAATTAGTTATCAATATTTCAATAAATATTTTGTTACTGCCATTATTCTTTAAAACGATAATATATGAAAAATTTGCTTCAGTTATCCTATTAGTATAATTTGGATATACATATATACGTATGTATATAGCCATGTATTTCATTGACCTTAATATGTTTTGAAAATCCTTCTCAGACGACTAAAGCACATACGTCGCCTTATCCTACATGACAACAGTTTTATGAGTGGGTCTTACTAAGAAATTGTTTCAATGATATCAAGCAATAATGGATTCGATTATAAAGTTGTACTTCCGTCAACGGATTGACCAAATATGCAAATCTTCTCAATCTGGTAAGTAGAAATAAATTATTCAAAACGACATAATATAATATGCATAAGAAACTTAGAATATTGACTTTTTTTAGTGTCTATTGGAGAAACGACGTCAACAGAAAACGTTGAAAGTGTGAACGTTAGTAAGGAATTTCTCGAAGTTCTAAATATATCATTTCAATTAAAAATTCAACGTGCAACTGCGCTTTTAGAAACAAAAGACCTGATTGATGCTACAGAAAGTAAAATAAAAATGTTGTTTGAAAATATAATTACTTTAGAGGCAGAAGAGAAAGATAGAAAGTTTGATGACATTGTAGCCCTTGCGATAACTTATTTTAATATGGGTCTGGTATACTCTGATACAGAATTGCAAGACATAGTTATTAGTGAAACTCATTTTACAACGTGTGTGACATTGTTAAAGGAGAAAGAACTGGAACGCAAAGCTATAGTTACAATTATCAGAGTGCTTATTGAATTGCATACCATTTCGCATAAACTCAAACAACCAGAGAAGAGTTATTCATTTTTAAATACAGCAATGGAACTATATTCGAAATATACAAAGGAAGAAATTGAATATCCTGATCCTATTAATTTCAATGCTATTCTTGGCATGGATGATGAAAAATATCAAAATTCTAAGATTATCCTAGAAAATCTTCAGTTAACAACTTTATTAAGCATGTCAACTTTGTATGAAAAAAATTTCCATGATAAGCATAAATTTGTAATATATGTTCATAATATATTGGATCAGTTAACAGAAACAATTTCATGTACGCTCAAAACATACTCTTTTTATTGGGCTATGACATCAATTAATTTATTCCAATACTTTGTACACAGTTATCGCTTTACTGAAGCCAGAAATCATATGATTGCCGCGGAGTACATGATGAAAATATTTCATGAACAAGTAATTGAACCATTAAGTAATGAAAAGATTGATGCAGATATATATTCATTTTTACAAAAACTGGATAATATTGTATATAACAATGTTAATAAATTCTGGGGGATATATGGAGCTGAACTTTTAACTGCATCAACAAATAAATTATTACATATAGAAGAGAATAATGAGTCAAGCGAGACAGATAATTCAAAATCAGAATCAGTTATGAAATCTAAGGACTTAACAAAATTACTAATATTTAGTGATGAAAGAAAGAACTTTGAAGGTTTTGCTGCTCATTTTCCAGATAAGTGTGTGTCAAATTTAAATGATGCCAAATCAATTTTCGTGAATGTTTTGAAATGTTTTAATACAGTAAAAAAATATTTTACCATAGAAGAGTATTTTTCAGACTTTGTAAATATATCATTTGCAATTTCGGAAGTATATAAATGTTTAGCCACTTTTGAACACGATAAAAGCAGACAAATGAAAGTACACAAAAGGCGAATAGAAACTTTGAAAATTATTCTTGGGGAATTCGAAAATGTAGCCAGAAATCGTAATAAAAGATTAAGGAGTTTCCCCCGATCAGTTATCTTAACAATATGCACAAAGCTTATGAGTCAGATGTTAGGAAGTCACATCGCTATCTTGGATGATAAAACTAATCCTTTACAGTTAAATGTAGAAAAGTTAGGTAAAAAATTTACTTATGAAATGGGAACAAATATTGATGAATCAGTAGTGGATATAATAAAACTGTTTGAACGTACTGTACAAAGTTCTAATACTTAATTTAAGAAGTGTAATTAATCTACGATTTTAATTAATTATCTAGGGTTTATATATATATTTTTTTGCTTGTGATATTGATATGAAAAATACTTCTGTGCATTTTTATATTGTAGTTAGAAATATGAGACAATATTTTAAAATTACCTCTTTTATTTATAAATGCTAGATTAACGTAGGAATAAATAATCTTTGAATGAAAAGTTAGTTTTATGATTACTGTGCAGCATAGAAATGCAAATATAATTAATGTTTAACTATTATGAATAGAAAAATTTAATAAAATATTTATCCTAATGTATATTTAATGTATATTTGTATGTATTGAGTAAACAGAATGTTAAATTAAAATTATTATGATTGCGTTTTAATGAAATATATTGTTTTTACTATGCTTTATTTTCATTTTAATTGAAGTATTAAATATTTTATTATTAATATTTTTCTTTGAAATATTAATATAAAAAAATATTATTTTTTATAAGAAGAAAATGGTTCATAATTATCAAGAGTGTTACGTGAAAACAGGAAATCTTGGATCATATGTGCCATATAAGTATAAACGAGTGAAGTATTTTGAATTTTATTTTTTTAATGCAAATAATAACATAATAAGCATTTAATAATTACATCTCATTGGGAAAGGTAAGCCGAAACAAGAGAAATTGTTGGCAATTTAAAACTGAGAATGCTAGGCTTGACAATTACATTTTATTCTACACATTGCAAAAAAAATGTTATATCAAGATAGGAATATATATTGAGAAATAAAATATTATTTCGCTTTTTGTACACTTATTTGCATAAATATAAACTTTATTTTTAATTATTTAACACTAACTATCGCGCCGATGCGTTGACTGTTTATTGATTAATCGCCGCTCGAGCGATATAAAATCGTAAGATGGTTTAGTTTTTCTTAATCACTACTCGTCTAAATAATACTAACAAATAAGAATTTAGATTGAGTGGATAATAAAGAATCGCGAGATTTGATACAAATAAATGCTGTACAAGAAAATAGTAGAAGTATAAAATGTATTCATTTAAAGACGACCTTTTTTTTCAATCAGAATCGGAACCAGAGCTGGCGTCTGATTCGTACTCTCCGACGTTAATGGTGAACTTGTACTCCTGATCACAGCCCAGATAAGCGTCGCTCATGAAGTACAACGTGTAGGAATGCTGGCCGGGCGCCGGAGCGACAAAGTCCAGCTTAATCTTTGCCTTCTGTTGCAACGTCAGCCGTTTGATGGATAGCAGCGAGTTACTCTTCGGATCACCGATCACCACCCACCAACCTTCCTCGCGTTTTTGCGGGAAGAACGGCGCGACCACAGGTCCGGTGACCTCGTCCTCCCGCTCCAGCTGCACGATCACATTCACCGTGCCGCCGCTGTGCAGTTTGTCCTTGTCCTGCACCTCGTACGACATCTCAATGTTAGGATAGCGATTGCAGAACTTGGCGACGTCTGCCATCTGTGCGTCTGTGAGCTGCAGCAGCCGATTCCGGTCGTCGTCCTCAAGCTCCATCACATCGAACACAGTTTCCACGCCTTTGTCGGTGCAGCGCTTGATGGTCTCCGCCGTGAAGTGCGGCAGTTGCTTCAGATAAGAATCCTTGGACCACATTGCCTGCGTCACCATCTGTGCGAGTTCCATCGCGGCGACGGCGGGCGCGAGCCATCCGGACGAGCTCAGCACATCGACGCACGCTTGTATCAGTCTCACGGCCTTGCCTAGAACAAGCTCGGTGTCCTTTTGCAGTTCCGGGCCCAGCTGTATCCTCGACAAGTGAGCCTGCAGCAGAAGCTGCGCCTTCACATGAGGATCGGCCATTCTGGTGGCTTGCGGCGCGTGCGGTAAACGCGCGGCCAGACTTCTCAGCAGATTTTCCTCTCTCTGTCGTACCGGCACGCTCTCGTACTCGGCTGCCGCTGAAATAATCTCTAGCAAGCCTCTGATTTTCGTCTTGTTATTGAGAGACAAGCTGAACAGCTCGATAGTGGCGTAATTGATATAGTAATAGGCGGCGATCATTCCCAGATTGAGCGGCAAAGTATCCATCTCGTCCTCAACGGCGACGCATTTGGCCTGCTCCAGGTCGGTCAGCGTGCTTTCGACCAGCTCGGACAAGTGGTCCGAGAGATGCCGATGCGTTACGCCTTGCAAGCCATAATAATTGGGATTCTGGGTGAGCCGCCGGTACAGGAAGGTCCACGTGAGATAATCCACGGCGTCCTGCTTGTTTTCAATCGTTTTTGTCACAATTTCCGCGTTGAAATGATCGTGCAATCGGCGATCCAGGTGGCTTTCCACCGGCAGCGGCTCGTTCAGGAACTTCTTGAAGAAGTCCTTCTTCGAACTTTGACACAAGAGCACGCATTTCGCGTCCTCGTCTTCCAGTGGACGATTCGCCCGCGCCACCATCTGCAAAACGTCCGTAATCGGGTAATCTTCGTAGGCGTGCGTCTTACCGTTGTAGCACTGTGTGTCCATGACAACCACGAGATGAGAATTGATGGATAAGCCCCAGCAGAGGTCCCTCGTGGCGACCGCGACCTGAACCGCGCCGCTGTCGAATAGCTGCTCGACCAAGCGACGATCGTCCGCCGACAAACCCTCGTGAAGATACGCCACACCCTGCGACAAGGTTTCCTTCAGCGTCTTGTCCACCATTCGGTCGAGGAACGGCTTGATGTCAGCTTCTTCCGCGTGGAAGAATCTCGACGGTTGACCTTCGGCTGCCGTGAACGTCAGCAGATCGATAGCCGTCAGTCGCGCTTGCCGGCGCGTAGGCACGAACACGATCACCGGTTTGTGCGCGGCGTGCCGCAGGATCGCGTTGTACACCGGTTTCGCCATGGCGGCCAGTCTCGACGCGTTGTGCGTCACGTTTATACCTTGCACGTGCAGCTCCAACGGCACCGGTCGCACGGACGGATGAAAGTTGAAGGTCGCCGCGGCCGGCGCGCCTAGCCACTGCGCGGCATCTTTGGCATCGGCTAACGAGGCCGACAACGCTATTATCCGGGTGGGTTTGTCGAGCTGCGAGGAGATGTAACGTGCACGCGAGCACGCGACTTCCAGCACCGGGCCCTCCTCGCCGCCGATCAGTTGTAACTCGTCGACGATAAACAGTTGAATGTTCTGCACGTTCTTCCGCTGCTTCCATCTGCGCGACAACACGTCCCACTTGTCCGCCGTCGTGATAATTATCTGTCCCTTGACCAGCAGCTTCAGATCCGTTCCCGTCTCGCCAGTCAGAAGTACGACCTTTCTTGCGAGTTGCTGACCGAATTTCATCGCCCAATCGGCGTAAACTAGTTCGGCCAGAGCTTCCTTGCTCACCATATAGACACATCGGCCTTCCGAGTTCTGCGTGAGCAATCGTAGCACCGCGAACTCCGCGATCGTCGTCTTACCGGAACCCGTGGGCGCGCCGACGAACACATTATCGTCAGAATTGTACACCGCGTTGAACACCTGCGTTTGTATCGGGTTGAACTGCGGGAACTCGGCGTAGATGTTCTCGAACTTGGCGTTGCGCAGCGCCGTGATTGGCAGTGCCTGCAGATCCAGCAGTTCCGTGGGCGGTAGATTCTTCTCCGGCAGTATCAAATGCCGGAAGCTCACCGGCAGCTGCGTTTCCGCGCCGATCCATCGGTCGGAGACGACGCGCAGGAAGTATTGCGGCGGCAGCGGCTCGAACACCGGCACGAAGAACTTGATCACGTGCTCGTCGGCCGCGTACTTGGCCTTCAGCAGGAAGTACTCGTGGTGCAGTATCACTTCCGAGTCCACGTCCTCGACGAGGATCCAGAACGCCTCCGACATACCGTGCACCTTCTCGTCCCACTGGAAGTCCGGCGTGATGGTCAACACGACGCGCAGGGTGGAGCGGGTGATCGGTTGAATGTGCGTCGACAGGCCCAGCTTCGGGAACTGGTGCACGTACTTGTGTATGGTCTTGCCGAGCTTCGGCACGCGGATCAGCTCGCCGATCTCGTTCGGCCCGAGATCGTACAATCTCTCCCACGGGAAGTTCTTCTTCTCGATCTTCTTCACAATCTCCTCCGGCATTTTGCGGAATTGCCGCAACGGCGACATCGACTGCCACATCCTGCGGTCGATCATCTTGCAAAGAGACAAGCATTTGTCCGCCAATTGCGCCCAGCCGCGAAACAGCACTATCTCGAAGATGGCGCGCATGAGACGCGAGGCGGATTGCGTGACGAACACCATGTCCGACATGAGGGCGAATCCTTCGAGCTTCAACTGCGAGATGTACGCCTGCAGCAACACGTTCACCTTCGCGCTCGGCTCCTCGATGCTCTCCTTCACCGGTATCGGCACCCTCTCCATCAGCTTCTGCAGCTCCAGCTTCTCCTCCTCTCGGACGTTGATGTTCTTGAACTCGCCGGACAGCGAGAACACGCGGAACAGCTCGATCTCGCTCAACGTGCGTTTCAGCAGCTGATTGTACGTGGACATCGTCTCGTGGGTGCAATAATAGTGCGACGCTATTCTGCCCAGCTCGGTCGCCTGGAAGTTGCCGGACTTGCGATCGTACTTGATCAGGCCGCTGCGATCCAGTCCGACGGCGGCCGAGTGTATCAGGTCGGCCCTGTGCAGCTCCAGCAACGGGTCCTGCTTCAATTTGTCGTGACTGATCCCGTACAGATTCGGGCAACGGAGCATTCTGATGTAAAGATAAGTATAGCCGAGCCAGGTGACCGCGTCTCTGATATTTTGTATCGTGCCGAGCACAACCTCCGCGTTCAACATGTCCGACATCTTGCTGATCAATTGCGACTCGATGGGCAGCTGTTGATTCAGAAGCGACAGGTAGTACTGCAGCTCGCTGTGATTCGTGATAAGGATGCCCTCGCCCTTGGTGTCGTACTGCGGCCGACCGGCTCGTCCCAACATTTGCAGCACGTCTAGCGCGCCCAGCTCCACCCACCTGCCCTTCTCCGGATTGTACACCTGCGTGCCCTTGATGATGACTGTGTGGGCCGGTAGATTCACGCCCCAAGCTAAAGTCGCCGTGGATACGAGCACCTGTATATGCCTGTCGGCGAAGAGATCCTCCACCAGCGTGCGATCCACTCGCGTCATGCCGGCGTGATGAATCGCGAAGCCGTACGGCAGCAGATCCTTGAGCTCTTGATTTTTCACCTGCTCCGCTTCCGTCCGCAGGACCTCCATGGACGCGGAACCTTCCCTAAGGAACTGGCCCAGAGTGTCTTTCTCCAGGCACATGTCTCTAATGGCGCGCGCCGTCTTACCGGTTTCCTTGCGCGAGTGCACGAATATCAGTACCTGATTCCTGCCGGCGTGCTCCATCGTCTTCTCGTAGACGATTTCGTTCATCACCTGAAAGCGTTTCAGCGCCTTCTTCTCGGTAACGCCGATGTACTGCTGTTCCAACGCCACCGGGCGGAAGCTGTTGTCGAAATAGAACAATCCCGTCTCCTGCTTGATGCGCAAGAACGCCGCGACGTCTTGATAATTCGGCAATGTGGCCGACAGACCGACGAGTCGCACGTCTTCCTGGGTGGTTTCGATGTTTCGTATTGTTCTCGCGACCAACGCTTCCAGGACAGGACCTCTCTCGTCGTGCAACAAATGAATCTCGTCGATGATAATTAATCGCACCAGCGACGTGAAGGTCTTCTCGCCGCCTTTCCTCGTTATGATATCCCACTTTTCCGGAGTGCACACTATTACCTGAGTGGCGGCGATTTGCTCCCGCGTCAACTGATGATCGCCCGTCAATTCCGAAACTGTGAGATTGTACGTTGATAATCGTTTGCGGAAATTGCCGACCATTTCCTGCACCAGTGAACGCATCGGGGCGACGTAGATCACCTTGAATTCGTCCGCGTTAATCGTGCCATCTGCGTTTATGTGCTTACCGATCTCCCTCATCATGCACAGCAAGGCCACGTTGGTTTTACCCGCTCCCGTTGGCGCGCACAACAGTAGATTCTCATCACTTTCCAACGCCGTCTGGTACAAGCGACTCTGTATGCGATTTAGCGTCTTAAAGCCTTCAAAAGCAGGTTGTACATACTTGGGCAATTGCTCGATCGGGTGTAGCTTCTCGCTATCGGAAAATGGCTTTGGTTTCAGAGCTGGAACGTGGACTTCTTCGTATCTGCAAGTATTTTTAAATCAGTTTTTTATACATTAAAAAATACTCAATTTTATTCTAGAAATCCTTTTCTACATATTGTACAATTTTTTTTTTTTAAATAAGAATTCCAATTCTAATATTTTTTTATTACTACTTATTTCACTTACCCTTTTCGTTGTTTTCGGAAAGAACCATCGGGCAGCTGGCAACGTTTGTTCGCCATGAAGTGACTTCCCTGAGCAAATATTAAGTCTTCCAGGTCTATTAAGTTTCTCGTACCCTGAACCTGTCCTCCAGGTCCTCCCGTATCCTCATTCTCTTCCCGTCTCTTGCGTTGTGATCTCGCTTCCATCGTCTCATCGGCGTCGTCATCGCCTTTACCCGTGTCTAATTGTCGCAGGATTTTTGCGAGCACCGGTTCATCGTTCATCTTGTTACGGATTTTCTGTCTCTCCGATTCCGACTGCGACGAAGCCAGCATTGTGCAGTACGCGACTGTAAAATTCAGAAATAGAATTTATTTTCTATCTATTCTGTTTAAAATCAGCACACAAATTAAAAATTGTGCAAATATAAATATTAACATTGATACACGTGCATTTCTTACCTGTGTGCCTGTATTTTTTAAGCTGTTTAATAAAGTCAAAGCAGTCGTAACCCAACAAAAGCACAAGTTGATTCTCGCATTCGCGATCATCTGCAGCGTCTTTCAAAACGGCTAATACTTCGGCGGCTCTAGCTTGTGAAACCATAGCGTCATCATATATCCTGCTTAATCTTCTTTGCAACCAATATGCATCTATGTCTAATGGATGCAATGGTTTCTCTTTCTTCATTTCTTCTGTTCCACCCAACTGAAAAAGAATGTTTATTTTCAATAAATATTTGATTATTCAATATTAATCACTATTGTTTTGCTAAAAATAAATACATAAATACTTACATTTTCTGCATGAATAGCTCTGTCATCATTAGCTTCTTCACCTTCATCCCCTTCATCATCATTTTCACGAACCTCTCCATATACATCTTCATCATCCTCTTCACTGCTTTCTTCAAACTGTACATTAATTCCGTACGTTTCATCAATGTTTTCATCATTTGTTGTACTTTTTTCGTCGCTACCAAAATCTGTGATTTTTTTCCCCAGATTTACAAGTAGCGCAAATCTCTCCTCTGCTAACAAACCAAGTAAAAGTTCCGTCTCCTTCTTCTTTTCTTTCTCCTTAAGTCGATCATTTTTTAATACTGCTAGCACTTCGTCGGCCGCACCACAAAGAATATCGCGAGGTTGATCGCCTAAAGCCTCTTGTATGAAACTGAGCAATACCTCATAAGTTTGACGTGTTTCTTGTGTTTTTGGACGATATACAATACCAACCATTTCGTCTACACCTTCGGACAACAATGTTGCTCCTTTCATACGTGCAAAGTCATACTGCGCTTCATCGCGTTTTTGACGTCTATAAAATTACAAAAATATTATTCTTAAATCATATTAGTAACTTCTTATTGATTATAATCATATTATTAACTTTCAACTAATATTATGAGACCCATAAAATAACCACATTTGTAACATTATAAAAAGAAAGATTATTTTGTAAATGCAAGAAATAAAATTGCATTGATGATAGACTTACTTGACTTTTCTCTCTTCTGCTTTGCCCGGTTTGGTACGTTGGGCTCTGTCACCCATGCGAGTGCCATCCAATTTGCCCACAAGGGACATAACTTCGCCGGTGGCTTCATCTCGGCTACGTCTTTCTATTAACCGTACGTCAGCTTGTAAAACGAGATTAGAATTCTGCAAATATATTAACACAATATAACGCAACAGTCACATAAAGTTTTGCATCACAAATATAGGTTACAATATATCGATTACAAATTGTGTTGTGTATAAAATTACAAATTATAGATATTATAGATAAAATAGATATATATAAAAAGTAAGAAACAGTTATTGTATCATTATTATAAAGTCAATGAGAAAAATGAATACAAACCGCTTTATATTCGTATTGCAATTGACGAGCCGCAGCATCCGCCATGATTGCGTCTCTTCTAAAAAATTAGCATAAACTACAAAGTAATCATGAATAGGAACGACTACAAGAATTGCCATATCTTCTTATTGGACGGCGACTAGGGAATTTCTTTTACTCCAGAAAAAATTGGACAATTTTGGGGCCTAATTAAAAACGTGCCTTTCGATTCAATGTATTATAGCAATATATCTTTCTATCTCTTACAATTTTCATGGCTGTGGAACGTATTAAATTTAAAAAAAATGATAATTTTGACAACTATGCAATTGCAAGTATGTAATTTGATATATTTTTCTTTTTATGTAAACAATTTTACTTTTATTGTAAAAATCAAAACAATAACCCCAAAAAATAATTATCTTATTTTATGTAACTATATTACTTGAGGTAACAATTGAAATAAACTTGATAATACATTAATTGTCGTTAATTAGTATTCATATCTAATTGCTTATTACAATTATATCTAAATGCTAATTGCTTTGATGTATAAATGCAGTTGCCAATTACTTTCCAAATTAGTATTTTAGTATTATAAACATTTTATAAAATTTCACTTGATGTACACATCAATGCAAATTCAAATATTTTGTATTTTTCTGCTGTGTAAATAATTTGTTTAAAATTATAGGGCATGATGAACGGCTACCACACTTTCATTTTTATCGAGGTCATCGGTCTCTTCCACTTTATACTCCCACCAACTCTGACAGAAGAAATAAGAAAGTACCAGCCATTACTTGAGTCAGTCCAAGTCAGTCTGGCTAGCCATCTCATTGTGCAATTCCTCTTACTACAATTTCTTACCACTATGATGCACACTAAAAATTTTTGATTTTATCTATACTACTATGTAAGAGCTGTTAACAAAGAAAAATATTAAACATTTTCGGATGTTTACCTACAGCAATGCAGTGGCTTCTGTTACTTTGCTGTGGTAAGTAAAAACGCATTTTCAATTATGCTTGCAACATTTTGCAAAGTAGCATTTGATATCTGACATAAAAAAAACATAAATGTTATAAATATAAAAAAAATTTGTTTATACTTAAAAATAGATAAGTGATAATAAAGAACCGTTGACATTGGGAATTTTTAACAACTTAAATAGAAACAAATACAAAAGTTTTATTATTTCAGAAAGCATATTTACAAATATTTTATAAACTTATTAATTTCTTACTACATTTTTATAATTAAAAAATTTTTTAATCTTTCAATGTATGTTATAAAATCATTAATATTTAATAAAATAATTTTCCGTACTTCTAATTATTTAAGAAATGCTGAACGTTTAAAGAAAGTTACAAATCTTTTTAAAAACTCAATATATATGCGCATAAGTTAATTGAGAAAAGATATGAAATTAAAAAATATTTTTTTAGTGACTGTTGCGAGTTCGCTTAGACTCGCCGCGTACATATCTTCTGGTGGTCTGCACGGTGAAATTCGATTCGAGAAAATCACCGAGTCTTCCGTGCGAATACGATATTCTCTAAAACCGACTTTGCAATATCCGGATCAGCTATGGCTCTGGTCGATCACCCAGTTTCCTGTCGATTACACGATCATCGATGGAAGATGCGACAAACGACACATCGGAGAAAGGTAGTATATATATATGTAATAAAAATATAACTTTAATAAAATAAGGGATACTTTTTTTATTAATGAGCAAAATTTATGATAAAAAAATTATAAGTTTTAATGCCTATTTTAAAAAAAGGAATTATTTTTATTACCGTTTTATTTCATTTTGTGTGCAGTATCATCGATTTGACAGAAAAAATCGGACCTCTTGAGTTGCCAGCAAATCAAACAGGTTCGATAGAAGTTACAGATCTGTTTTTAACTGGAGAATTAGGTTTGTGGGGAAAAGCTCTGGTATTGAAAGATAATTATTCGCCAAGAACAATATGCGCTTCGATCACGGTAATTTATAAAAAATTGCTATCGAGAATGCACGTTAGCCCTATAATAAAACATAAAAAATAACCAATTGTAGATTAGTAGTAAAAATCGATTACTTAAAAATTGTTAAAAAATCACTAATTTTTCAATAATCTCAATAATCAATAACAAGCTAATTATAATTTAATTTAATTTAATTAAAACTTGTTTAATTATAATTATCTTACGATTGTTTTTCCTTTTCAGGTTCTTGAAAGAAATGTTGAAAAATTTGCTCAAGCGCGTTTTTACGGTCCCATAGCTGGAACAATTTTGTTTCGATGGTTGGGCGGCCAAACGGGCGACCCCACTGATACTATTATTCATACAAATTTGCATCACGTTCACAAGCAAAAATTACAGTCACTAAATTATACCGAGCATCATTGGAAAATATATGTCACCGATATCTTCGAAACTGGCAAAGGTTGATATTTATAATTTTAACTAATAATTTTTGGTTGTAATTTTATTTGTGATGTTATATTTAAAATAATGGCATCTTTTAGATAAAGACAATTGTAATATACTCCAAAATGTCTTTGATCCTAACAATTCTGGCGTTGGAGAATCCATCGGAGATGTCGATATACGTTTAGGCAAGATAAAAGTCGCCGTTGACGCACAGGAAAAGTATAAAACTTTCTATAGAGATCCGGAATTATCTTTATTGCCAGCAGATCTGCTTGGTCCACATCGTCACTTATACTTAGTCATCTTTCATCCAATGCACGAGGACTCGTTCTTAGCTTGTGCCAAAATTAATCATCGCAAGCCAATACACACTAAGTAAGAGCTCCATTCAATTTCACATTGTGCTTGCACAATGCTGCATTCAATAAAAAATCACTTTTGTGGACAAAATTTATCACTGTCAAGTCAATATTTTATTATTATTAAATCAAATATTAATTAAAATTAATAGTAATTAATATTATATACATTTTGTTCACGAAACTTTTTTATTATTGAACGCATTATATAAATAATTAAATTTGCACTATACAATTATTTTAATTATTAATTACGCATAAATTAAGAAAAAATTAATAAATTATGTTTGAAAACATTCTTTGTAACAAAAATTCTTGAAACAAATATTTAGGGCCGTAATCAACTCGCACGGCATCAAAGGTGAAATTACTGCGATCCAAGAAACGCCGTTCGATCCGACGTGGATCAATATCTCTCTGACGACTACAAATGATCTGGAAACCAGATTGCGATATGCTACTAAAGTAGCATCATATAAAATCCACGAGTTACCTCCGGAACCGGCAAAGAGTGTGGGATTTACTGTCGATTCGTGTTTAACTACTAAAAAAATGTTTAACCCTTCGAATATCGACGAGAAGATCGTCCCACCTGCAGGTAATAATAATCATGTATAATTCAAAGTAAAGTAAAGAAAGTCAAAGTTAACGATAAAAGTTCCGAGAACGATAAAACAAATGCATAATATCCTAATGATTTCGAAATTAAAATCGAACAGGTTTGGGAACTCAGGATCAATACGCTATCGGCGATCTATCGGGTAAGCTTCAAGGGCGAAAGGAAGGATCTTATCACAATGATATTTTACCCGGAAGCGCCAAACTCAGTGGAATTTACTGGGATACATACTTACCACTTTCCGGAGTCCACAGTATCGTTCACAGATCTTTAGTTCTTTACAAGTAATTAATCATACATATACACGCATGCGTTATTACACTTCTACGTTACAAGAATGCTTTCGTATTGCATTAGTCGATACGGTGTAAAAAGAATCTTTTCGTTAGATATAACGAGACCGATAACAAAGGACTGATTCCGTGGGTGTGCGGCACGTTCGCGCTTTATACGCCGTACACTGATTGGCAAATGCCAATGTACACGGCGAAAGCGGTATTCAGGTATCCCATTGTCGGTCGCATAGTCTTCCGACAGCCCAAAGATGAGCCCGAAATGGACACTACTGTAATAATAGAACATCTTGTCCACGCAGACGGCAACGCAGTGAATAATACTGCGGATCATAGGTAGATCATGTTCGTAATAAAAGCTGAAAATAATTATCGCGGATAAAGCAGTAGACTGAAATTTATTATTCAGATGGATGGTGCACGAAAATCCACCGGGAAAAGACTTTTATAACTGGACAGGTCGTTGTTTGAGCGCCGGATTGCCCTACAATCCATTTAAGGTATCTTAATTAAAACTTCCAAAGCTGAAAATAAAAAGATAAAAATTCTGTGAATTGTGAAAAGTAATTGCAAGTCATAAAAATTCAGCTTTATGGAAAAATTTGCATTTTAAGCAAATTTGAATGCTTCTTATCTCGCATTACTCTTCGACGTATTTTTATGCTTGCAGAACGTTTATTTGTAAAGAACGATGATATTTCAGGTGGAATGGAGTCTGAACAGTTCTTGTCTCGTCTCAGAAACCTCGTTGTGTCGTCTCGGTGATTTAACGAGGCACGGGATGCTCGATATCGCCGGTAGAAAAGTCAATGCTTCAGAAGTGACCCGAAGACTCTTTACAGACACGATGTTACCTTTATCAGGCTCCCACACGTTGCTCGGCAAGAGTTTGGTCATTTACGACGATCACGGACCAGTCGCGAGAGGAGACCGATTGGCTTGTTCCATGTAATTGCGTGATGAGTATGTAATATACGTATGAAATTTTTAATAATAACAATGTAATCGTACTTGTAGTATCGGCGGCGTCTATCGGCGTAAAGCTGTCGTTAGAGATTGGTTCGGTAACGGCGAGCAAGTGGCTCTGGAAGGAAAATTGGAGTTCTTGCAGCAGACCGAGTACGACGTCACCAACGTGGAAGTGTCTCTCGAAGGTCTCGGTGGTAAGATGAGCGGCTATCACATACACATGGTAATAATGACTTATCGCATCAAGGTTTCATCTCACTTATATGCTCAGATTAATTGTGTATTCTGTACTGTTCCAATCAAGTCCTTCAATTCTTAATATTAAGACTAAGCGGATCCTCGGTTCCTTTTCCTTCCATTCTCACTTTGATCCTAATGGCATGTATATATACTTTCTTTGATAAATGTGCGGTCTGAATATGTTTTTAATTCGTCATAACTGTATTACAGACGCCTGTAGAATACGATCTAGAATTTCCATGCGAAGGAACTTCACTCTATGGACATTGGAATCCATTGGGCGTCAATAACAGCGATGTACCGGCGACGGAAGAAGGTACGCTGGATCAATATGAGATGGGTGATCTGAGTGGAAAATTCGGCACCTTGGACAACAAAAAGAGGCAAGCTTCGGCGTATAACGACACGATGCTGCCACTGTTTGGTCCGAGGAGCGTACTGGGACGCAGCATAGTTATTCACAAGAAAGAAAAGAATTTAAGGTAAGGAATTTTTTTCTCGTTTGTCTTCCATGCTGTTGACATTTCGTTTCTGCATATAGATGGGCGTGCTCCACCATAGAGAGAGGCTACTCTCCGACCGAGGCCAGTGAGTTGCGTGCTATCGCGTCGTTCCATCATCCTCAAGGCTTCTTATATGGTTACATAAAGATGGTACGAATTTTACAGAAAAAGAAATGTGCAGTCGAGCGATGTCCGTGCGTTTGGTCACTTCAACTGTCAAATTTAAAAAGTATATTAATCACTCGCATGGTTCAATCGCTTCATGTTGGCAAATGATAAAAAGAGTCGATAGATCACGTGTCATAAAATATCTTTGCGAAATACGGATTCATTGATCACCTGATTGTACAAGATTATTAATTAAAATTATACAATTTTTGTTCGCAGACGCAGCTTGTCTATAAAGACGGCAGTGAAAGTGAGACGGTGATCGAAGTAAACTTACGACATCCCGGAAAACACGATCGCAATGTGGTAGGAAGAATAATTCCAAAATTTATCTAATATGTACTTAACGCGCGTTCAATTTCAGACCAGAAATCACAATTGGGCGATATATGTGAATCCTGTGGGTGTGGATGCCACGGTAAAAGTGAAGAACACCCGGTGCGTGGCAGGTGGATACATATGGAATCCATATTTCACTCAATTAGCCGATCCGTTGAACGTAAATATTTCCGATTTCTTGGATTTTCCTTAATTTAATTCAGACAACGTTTTCAACATATCAATTGAATTTGAATCGTACTGCCTGTAACAATGACTCTTTTCTCGTTGCACAGGAGGATCTCTATAGAGAGGAATGTGGTCCAGATTTGCCGCTCAGGTGTTACGTCGGCGACATATCGTCTCGTTTAGGACCCGTTAACGTTGGGGTGAAGCGGCAGGTCTTCACAGATCCAAATTTTCCTCTAGGTGGTCCGATATCCGCAATGGGCAAATCAATCATTATTTTCGACAAGGATTTCGGCAGCAACAGATTCGCCTGCGCAAACATCGAGCCCGATAACGACATCGTGAAATACGCGAATATTAGAAAACCACCGCGATTTGTGGTGTAAGATATAACGTTAATTAATCATCGTTAATCATTTCATCGTGAATTTATCTTTCATTGTTTTTGCAGGGCGCAATTTTTGGAGGATGTGAGAAAGGTGATGGGCATTCCCGAGTGGATGCTATCAATCGATGGTAGAAAGACAAAGATATTACATAACGGCGCGTGCATTCAATTCCTCCTGCATTTTAAAGGTGAATATCTGCGACGGAACTTTAGACGTGCGCCATAAGATTTCATCGATTATACTTTTATTTCGTGATTTTTTATTTATTTCTAGGTCCAATTGCCAATAAATTGGACCAAGACTTTAGCAAGCTCATATCCACCGGTAAACTCGAGGCTCCTAGTTTGTATATTCCTGGATACATACCGACGAAGAGGAAAAGTACGCTAGGACATCGACAGTGCGGCACACGTGATCCGAATGATAAAAGTAATTTCCCTCAATTCATTTGTGATACATAAATTTGTAGAATTAAACAATCCTCTAATTAAATTAATGCCATCAATATTTATTGCAGATTTGGACAGCTACCGCAGCAAATCCGTCTCGTTGTTACCGGGGATATCTGTATTCTTGATAATAGTAATTAGAATAGTGTAATCCGATACGAAGTTTTAATAAAATCATTGATTTCTATAAAAAGAATAAAATGTACAAAGAAGCAAGAGCCTTTTCAAGCAAAAGCCTTCGAGTCACACGTGAGTTACGTCTTCAGCATATATATATTTTTTTACAATTGTTATTTAACAATGAAACACTCCATTCTTCAAAATAGCCTTGAAGTTGGATAAGAAATAATTAAACGCGCACCGAGAAAATTATTTTCATCTTCCCAATCAAGGGGAAGCTTATTGTTAACACCTCGTGACACACCGTACATACACATGCAATATGTAGGAACACATGTGCATTCTTGAATATGTCGGACAGTTATTTTCGGTATCCACGTGCTTGGGATATCGTGCTACAAACCGAGCGCTCAGTCATGAATAGTAATACGTTTGGTATTTTCCAGATCGCTGTATGTGAGAAATCATCATTAATAAGCTGAAAAAGAACTAGAGAGAAGAGAAGAAAGCGAAACTTGTGTGTAAAATTATATCTTCGAGAAGTATTGCGGATGAATTCTTCCTTTTTTTTTTTACAATGTGAGAGAAAAGAATCGTCCGAGCGTCACTCCGTCGTGCTCGTTAAAATGTAATCTGTCTCCAGACTAGAGACGCCCGATTGACTCACGATCGGCCGCGAAATCAATATGTCTCAATGTCTCGGGAGAAGCGGAGATCTTCGTCGTCGTCTCTCGGCGCGCCGTCGGAGTTCTACACTCCCCGGCAAACTGTTTTAGTCGAAACGTCGAAAGGGTCGCTATTTTGAGGCGACTCGCACTAAATATGGTCAGATAGGCGGTTGTACCCGGGGCAGGGCACCCCTGCTCGGACCTACCTCCGGACCCGCTGGTGGGGGAGATCCGCAGAAGTTACTTAGACAAGTTCAGCTCTATGATTCGGACAGTTGGTTCGTCGTGACCATCTCGATATCGTCCACCTCTTAGAAATCAACCGTAGACATGGTAAGTAGGGTCGTCGAGAGATATCTTCGTGACACTGCGATCCCCGGCCGCGGTCGTTAAACAGCCGTGGATTCAGGAAATCACGGGAGAATATATGTCCACGTGATATCGCGCGATATACCGCGAGCGAGATGCCAGGAGCACAGCCAAAAAACCGCAAATATAATGGTGCATTTCTCACGAAGATGGATTACGCGCAGTGCGTCGAACGATATGCCAAGTGATGAGTTTGATGATGAGCGATATTATCGCGATTTTGTGACGATCAAGTGCGGCGGTGATCTTCATCAGAGTTTCTAGCCGTGAACCGCTCGAAATTGCAATACTAAATTGTTATAAGACCATAACTTCCGTTTATGGTCGTTTGAAATAAATTTGCGATTCCGTTCTGAGTATTATTTTATTTCGACTATTTCAGATAGCGCAATTGAATTTTATATATCTTGAAAAATGAGAGAAAAGTAACGAACAATGCTCCAATTTAATTGATTCAATCAAATTGATGCAATTTACTTCTACAATATATATAATACATATTTTCTCTAATATATTTAATTAAAATAAATATTTCTATAGATATGTTATGTGCAATATATAATTAAGAGCGATAAAAATATAAATTTCATTTTGCACATAAGACGGTTGTTCGGCTGGAAAATTAAAATACGATGTAAATGCGCATTTCTTATTAGGACGATACAAATAATTACGTAACAATGGTAATTCGAGAGGCAGTGCGGTAACTAGATAGTCGCTCTATATACGTCCTGGCAGCATTTCCGCGCGACTCACGGAACCGATTCTATTCTTGGCATCAGCCGGCAGCCCCTTGCAAATTTTCTTATTCGATAATTGGACCAAATCTTCCCGGCCTGAAGATTTTTTTATTCCTCATCGAATCTTATATCAATTATATTAAACAAAATAATTATAATATCAACACAATAATCTAATTTAATGATTTCTCACATTTTATTAAATATGCGTGTAATCCAATCGTCTATGTTGAAATTTCTTTTTTATTTATTTTATCTATTAATTTATAAATATTCAATAGAGTTGATCAATCTTTAAATTAAATCTTCGAGAATCTTTTTCATTTCCGCTACATATTCTTCAAAGATTTACAGAAAAGTCTCGACGACCGCCGTCCTTTCTACTTTCCACGCCATGAAAAGTTCTTTTATTTAAAATCTCACTTCTTAAAATGAGAAGGCACTGAAAATATTTTGCAATGTAATTTTCTTCAACTGCGAAAGGAATCAAAACAGATATTACGACATTTATGATATTCCAGGCGGATAAGGAGAAGAAGAAGAAGACCAAGAAGAAGGAGGAGGCACCTGCTCCTGAGCCCGAGCCGGCGCCAGCACCGGAAGAGAAGGCGCCAACCCCTGCAAGCACACCGAAGGAGTCTGGCTCCGCCAGGGCGAGCAGCCGCGGCAGCCGCAAGGCTAAGCGCAGCGGATCCAGCGTCTTCTCTATGTTCTCGCAGAAACAGGTGGCCGAGTTTAAGGAGGTACGCTAATTCAACGGCATCACGTGCAATTCCAATTCTGTTACAAGAATCCGGCGATATCAGCCGTTGCGTGCATTGAAAAATAAATCGTGAAATTGGTACAAGTTGGCATTTATTGAATTGTGTGTAAATAGAGAGTGCATTACCGTGATGTTCCCAGGCATTCCAGCTAATGGACGCGGATAAGGATGGCATCATCGGCAAGAACGATCTTCGCGCGGCCTTCGACTCCGTCGGCCGACTCGCGACCGATAAGGAGATCGATGAGATGCTCAATGAAGCTTCGGCACCCATCAATTTCACCCAGTTGCTGAACTTGTTCGCTGTTCGTATGTCGGGATCGGGTACGTATAATTCGTCAGACAAAAAGGAATCGAGCAGCATTGAATTTTTCTGCTGACTGAATAACTTCTCGCTTCGCCAGGCGCTGACGAAGACGATGTTGTGATCAATGCCTTCAAGACGTTCGACGATAACGGCAAAATCGACGGCGAGAGGTACAGTGATTCAATAACGTCATATAGACATCTCGCAGTTGTTAAATAAATTGATATTGTCTTTTTATAGGCACAATTATTGAAAGGATCGATATGAACTTAAGAATGTATTTTCTATTTAGGAAAAGTTTATGATTAAAACAAAAAAAATTGCATATATCTACAATGTTTCAGCAAGTAAAGTTGACAAAACTTTCTTTTTGCAAAAGAATTTTCTTATCCTCGATTTGATTGCCGATCTTGGCATTTTGGTGATTAATTTTTGAATATCGCTGCTTCGATATTGTGCCAGGTGGTGCAAATCTAAGATTGCATGTTCTGAGAGAAAGAACAAGTTCAATCAATTTTATTTTCTGATATTAAACACGTGTGTAATTTTATTCTTGTTTTAATCCTGAATTTCATCCAAATGGTACACGTTTATAAATCAATATCGATCCAATAAAATGCGTGAAATAATTTTTATGTGCATTCACGCAGGTTAAGGCACGCCTTATTGACATGGGGCGACAAATTCACGCCCAAAGAGGTGGATGACGCGTTCGATCAGATGTACATCGACGACAAAGGTTTCATCGACACCCCGAGCTTAATCGCCATGTTGACCGGCACGGGCGAAGAGGAAGAGGAATCATAAGTCAACCGCAGTTATATCATCAAGGAAAGGAAACACGTTCCTCGATTATGAAGCCTCGTATTTAACGTCAGATTCGCACAGTTTGCCTGAAAAGGGAACAAACACTTTACATCTAATCCTTATCTCTCCTATCTTTCTCTTTTGATACTATTTCATTGATTGACAAAAAGATGACGAGAAACTACCGGTCCAAACTAGCCGAAAACTGTCTTTCTCTCTTTCTCGGTCTCTCTCGCTCCTTCTCTCTTCTTTTCGTTCCTTTCTTTTTGTCTGTCTTTTCATTTCTCTCATGCCCTTATTTTCCTCTGTATTTCTCTTCAGTTTCATGTTTTCTCTTTTTCTGTATCTCTCTTTGGCTCTATTTTTCACTTTGCTCTTATCTTTCTTCATCTTTCTCTCCTTCTATTTCACTGTTGATTCTTTCTCTATTTTTTCATCTATCTTTTTCGCCTTTTGTTCTTTCTTCCATCTCTCCTTCCTTTCTTCTTTCTTTCTCTTTTCTGCTCTTTCTGTTCTGGTCAAACACTGCTGATCCCAAAAGGAACGGCGAATCCGAGAAACGCTATTGATTCTATAGCACAATTCTCTTAGATGTATGAACCGTATGTCTGCCGATAAACGAAGCTTCATCATACCATTTTATCGTTCGCATAATAAAAGTATTTATTAAAACTCTACGAAGCTCTCTGATTTCGTTCTGCTACTCTGCCGGCGGAAGCGAGAATGCGCTTCAGCATTCTTGACTAAAGCAAACGGAGGCAAATGGAGAATGTTATATTTTTGTTGTCTCAGAATATACGGCAATCTTTGGTGTTGATCGGTTAACAGAAATACAATCGCTGCCATCCATACTTTTTTTTATAGAAATATATATATATATATATACACTTCAGATATATTATGTTCCATACGCGAATTATGGTATTTGAAAGATACGTTTAATGTATTATTAAATGTAACATACACGATGCATAATAAAAGATTCATTGGTGGCGAAAATATTATTCTTAATTTTAAACATTTGTTTGAATTTCATACTAATTAAATAAGAACTAAGAACAAAGAAAATCATTTCTCATTGCGCAAACTAACAGTTATCCTCAGCTTGTTACATTCGCAAATGTTAATGAACACAAGTGATGTGTTGATGAATATTGGTCGACTCACCGCATCCTATGATTCGTTCAGAATTATTCGGAAGTCCAACGCTTTTCGCGAATTCTCATTGATATTGTGCGCCCACAAACTGCATTCCACTGTCACCAATTTGAATGCTATAACAAACAAAATGTCTATTAATAAAGTGTAATATTTGATAGCCATATCAAAAAGATTAGTGGCCTTAGTTGATGCAGTTTGTTATACAAAGAAGAGAAAGTCTGGAGAGTCATTAATAAATAAATGTTTATTAGAAAAATTCAAACAACAGCTTATCTTTCTGCATAATTATTATACTTTGCAATACTTTGATCCAGTTTTTCAATTTCTCAAAAAAAAAAAAAATTTATTTGGTAAATTATCCAGTTATGTGGCTCGGTCTTAAGCTTGTCGACATTGAAAAAGCATTTTACTAAACTCTGCGCGCAGTCCAAACCTTGTGTCATCAAATCTGTGTGGATGCGGATGGTAAGATGCTATTATAATGACAAGCTTAAGACTGTTGTATAACAATTTTCCAAAAGATTTCACTATCTCATACGTAATAGCTTACGTGTGACATTTTTAAATCGCAGTGCGACTATCGGTGATAAATAATCCGGTTGTCCCATAAACGGGAAGTATCGCACGGGAAAGCCTGGACTCGGTAGATATTCAATTTCTCCGATGTGCTCCTTGTCGACATTATTTGCTCCGTCGCACCACAGCCAGATCTGCGACTGTTTAATTGTTGCAAAACGAATCAGTGCTTACTGTGTCAGTAAAGCTAGTTACATTTAGATAAATTATCAATTAATTGAATATCTTATGCGCAAAATTGAATCAAACCTTATTCGAAGATTGCACAGCATCCTGCAAAGTATGCGGCATGTCTTCTGGCAATTGGGAGGATTTATTGTAGTGGATCGGTACCCAGTTAAATCTCTGCAACATAATTAATTGAAAAAGCAATATTTTTCCATTTTAATTAATAATATATAAATAAAAATTAATCGACGAGACATTTTCCTTGTCAAATATGCAAAGATTTCTGCTCACCTTATTAAATTTAATGAGAACACACGGCTGCAGTGGATTCGTATATCCATATGGAGGTTTTCCGCAAACGCCAAGACTTTCAACATCAAAAAAACAGGGTTTTACACTAGGTATGATCGGTGTTTTGTCACTGCATTCCGCAACTATCTTGTAATTCTCTTTACTCTTATTGTACTCTGAAACAAAATTTTTAATTAGAAACAGTTTTTCTTACTTTTATTGAAAGAAACATAAATCATTGGAATATGTATGTTTTTTAATCGTAATACCTTGCAAAAAATCACTCAAGATCTGTATGTATCTTTTTGGTCGAGCGTCCATGCTTGAATTATCCACCAAAATCAAACGAGGTGTTGTAGGCAGCAAAATATTCGGTGTGAAGCTGATTCCTGTCCAAAGAATAACAGTATATAATACACAAATATATTTTTAACAGATATTAATTTTTAAAAAAATGTCATTCCTTGGATAGAAGTTAACTAAAAAAGGTATACCTGGACTGCCAAACTCTTGACGAAAAGTTGGAAAGTAGCTGCTAAAGTAAGATCTAGGTGCCAAGCCTTCGTAAAGGAAAAATGGCTTGTCCAATTTTGAGGCGTACTCTATGCTGATCCACATCTGGAACACGAAGAGGGAGCCCAATACACTGAAGAAGCACGAGTAGAAAAATCCCAGCAAAGCTGTCCATGTATCATCAGACAATAGTTAACATATTTAATAATTATACATAAAAAATTAGATAATTATATAATCAACAATTTATATATTAAGAAATACTGAAAGTTACCCCATTCTTTTCCAGTTCTACCGAGCAATGTCCTTCGGTTTGGATTCCAAACAAATCGCAAGAAATTTCGCAACGCACCTAAATCAGGCTCGGGTATTCTGCTTCGATAATATTCATCATCATGCAGAATAACAGTTTTACGAATTGTATCTTGTGTGGTATATAAAGGCATTTTAATGAAGAAGTAAAATCTACGTTGAACATGAAGTTAGTAATAAACAGTTAATGCATTGCATTCTGCATTCAAGATGCTTTAATAAAATTACATGATATTGAGGTGATATTGAGATATATGTTGCAATAATTTAATCATAAAAGCAAAATAAACTAAGCTAAAGTATAACAAAATGTTTAAGATGTTAATAAAAAAACTCATGTAAACCCAAAAATCCTATTTTTATAGAAATGCATTTTCAGATTAACTTATTTTATTAAACCATGCAGAACGCTTAAAAATATCTATACAATGAATTATTATTAGTTAATATATATTATACATTGTATATACAATTGCAATTTCCTTAACTCTGTTGACCTTAAGATGATTTACTTATGAAAGAATTTTAAATATACAGTTATGCCAAGAATGGCTAGTTCCAGCAATATGATCAAAATTAGCACAATCTTATTCGTCAAGACCCTTAGTCGCATAATATTCAGAATTTTCCTTGTCTTATTCAATTCTTCATCTGTCTGCGACAATCTCCGTTTTGCTCGTAGAAGACGATCTCTCTGCTCACCCAGCTCGGAAATCACTTCCGTCCCGATCTGCTCGCTTTCTGCTGCGACAGCCTGTGATCTTGCGACCGATTGCGCTGAACGATCCAACGCTGCATTTCCATCCAGCAAGACACGTCGATGCTCAGCCTCCCAATCCATGCCAAAATTCATAGTTGTTATTTTATTCAATCGATATCCAACAAGACAATATAAAGAATATTAATACAGTAAGTGTTAATTTTAATTATAAATTTTATTTATTCTGCGTCATTGCCTAAAATTAAAGATATCGCATTAGTAAACATAACCAAAGTGCGTAATAAATAAGTTTTAATATTAAATAATAATTTTAAAAAACAACCTACTTAAAAATGACAATTCTTGCTTTTACTTAGTAAAAGTCCATGCTATTGTTCATTTGTTAACACTAGAAGTTAATAGGTCAGAAATTATTTATCAACAAGATTAAAATTATTCCCGATGCTATAAGTGACAGCTCAAGTATCTAAACCATAAAGTGTATATAATGGAGAATTAACACTCCATGTAAAACAAAGAATGTTCGATATCCAATAGAAAGATTTCATTTCTAGGGATCTTTTCAACGGCACATTGTAAATACTCCTTAAAGTGTTTTCTAAAGACAAAAAAATGTTAGCCTCTAGAAAATATTTTTTTCTAATATTATTAGCAAACTTTATAATGTGAATTATTACTGCATCAAGATGCAGTAGATGTACAGAATATTCTTAAAATGTCTGGCTACTTTTTTCGTCAATGTTATGAAAAAAATTTTATATAAATATGAAATTGTACAAATGATTTTTTCTCCTGTATCAAGTAGAGTATTCAGCATACGTAAATATCAAACTTGGCAATGTGCGATAACGGAACGATCTCACGCATCGCGTAGCGCCATATCCGGGCGTGCAGTAAAAATTCAGCGCTGGCAGTGACCGGTAAAATGCAGTACAGTTATTCGCGGTCGTGATAATTTCGCGGTGCCTCGTGCTGATAAATGTGCGACGACGATCGTTTAACGGATCATTTACGCCGAGCACGATGACACGCATCACGTTTCTGCATCCTGATCTCGGTATCGGCGGTGCGGAGAGACTGGTCGTTGACGCGGCACTCGCTCTGAAGAAGAACGGTCACGACGTGAATTTCGTAACGACTCATCACGATCCGGAGCACTGTTTCTCAGAGACCAAGGATGGTACCATTCCGGTCACCGTCGTGGGCAATTGGATCCCCAGACACGTATTGGGCAGATTCTACGCGCTTTTTGCTTACATACGTATGGTATGTATAGATTCTGAAAATAACTAAAGAATTAATAAAAATATAATAATAAGTATATGTCATAAAATTCAAAATTTTGGTTTATTGTAAAAATTTTATATTTATTTAATTTTACAATAAATATTTTTCAATACACTTCTTGGTTCAGCAGCTCTGTTTGACTTTTAAAATAAATGATAAAATAAACTAGAGACTTTTATTCACATTTGTGATTAAGAATGTCATAAGAAAGATAAATCTGTTTTGCTAAAGATCTCAAAAAGTGTTATTTGTATTTAGTTATAGTGATGAAAAATAAATTCTTATATGTTTACTCTTACAGGTATACGCAGCTAGTTACATAATATTGTGTGATCAACGACCAGAAGTTGTCTTCTGCGACCTGGTGTCCATCTGCATACCTGTACTCCGACTGCGCATTCCATACGTGGTGTTTTACTGCCATCATCCAGATCAGCTGCTTTCACAGCCTGGAGGTTACAGTAAACAGTTATATCGCATGCCCTTAAACTATCTGGAAGAGATCACAACCGGCATGGCGCATAAAGTATTTGTAAATAGCATTTACACAGGCAGCGTGTTCAAGAGCACATTCAAAAGATTGCAAATAAAGCCCGAAGTTTTATATCCTTCCATTAACACAGACTTCTTCGACAAGACGAGAATAGTGTCTGTAGAGAGGGTGCTCGACAGGAAACTCCCTGACAATAGCATTATATTGTTGTCTATTAACAGGTACGAGCGTAAGAAAAATTTGTCCCTCGCGATAAAGGCTCTTGCCGAGCTGGAGAAAGTTCTAACAAAGGAAGTATACAAGAGAGTGTACTTGATTATGGCGGGCGGATATGACAAGAGGGTTGAGGAAAATGTGGAGCATCACTTGGAGTTGATAGGACTTGCGGATGAGCTACATGTAACGGATAAAGTGATATTTCTTCGCTCGCCTTCCGATATCGATAAAGTTTCCATACTTCATCATTGTAATATTGTGATATACACACCGCCGAACGAGCACTTCGGAATAGTACCGTTAGAGGCGATGTACGTGGGCAAGCCGGTAATCGCGCACAATTCCGGTGGTCCGATGGAATCGATAGTTTCCGGAGAGACCGGTTTTCTCGTCGACTTATCCGGCGAGGCGTTCGCCGAGAAAATAGCTCTTCTAATCACGAATCCAAATCGAATCGAAGATTTCGGCAAAGCGGGTAAAGACAGATTTTTGATGACATTCAGTTTTGCTGCGTTCAGCATGCAATTGAATAAGGCAATAGATAACTTGACTGACAAAAAGACGAAATAATAAGATGGTAAGAAAGATATTTTGAATGATCACTAAATAAAGATAAAAATGATAACGCGAAGAGATGAGTGAAAGTATCGTTTTTCAAACGACGTATTTATAACACTCCATTAAGTGTCCGATTAAAAATTACATTTTCCACTCTACGTTTATAACTTCATCTTATTTAGCTTGTTTAATTATATTCTACATGGGAATGAAATTTAATATATATATATGGTTTATGCAAATCATTATATAAATTATTACTTAAAACAGTGGCGTAGCTAGGAAAGAGTTTCGGGGAGGGCT